TGCTACTCGAGGCGATATCGACTTCTTTGTTCGATAAATTGTATAAAAATACAGCACTTGTTTCGCGAATCGGAAATATCGAACTTAAATGGCGGAGACGCTTGTTGCAAAGTACTGGAAACGTTTAAAAAAAAAAGAAATTTTCGATTTTTATTATTATCATTGTTGTTCCGTTCTTTTTACTATATAATTCGTTTAGAAGGAAAGAAAGTGAGTATAAAAGTATGGACATTGTGCGGGATTGAACAGGACGTTGGGCTTCCTTTAAAGTTTTTCACCCGCTTGAAAGAAAAGAGATCAGAGGATTCGAAGCCTTCGGGGAGCGTTTCAACCTAGTGAACATCTGCCGTCGTCTGCAACGATAATAATTCGAACAGCTGATACTCCTCGACGGACCACTGGCCCTTGCCTCGTGGATCCTATAGGATCGTTTTCAACTACCACCTCAAAAGTTTCTAGAGAATCCCTCAATTTTCTTGCATTTAAGTCCCGAAATATGAAAATAGAAAATGGACGACAGAAGGGTAAAAGTGAACGTGCGACAATTTTTATTTTTATATATTTCGGGTGGAAGCACGGAGCCATGAAATTCAGAAATTCGTTTCAAAAAATTACAGCTTGTTAGTATTCGTTTATCGTGGCAAATAACCGTGAAAATGATCTCGATTTAGTAGCACGTTTCGCGCAAATAACAACGTTAACAGGAAAGAAAAGTTGTTACGTTATTTACAGATAAACAAACGAGGTATCGTGTTTCGACAATAACAGAAGAAAATTCGTTGCACAGTTAATCAGCATTTAGAATCCTTTGATGAGGCAAAACGGCGAAAGGTTTATCAACACGTCGTCATTGGTCGGTTCTACTTTTCGCATCTCATCCATGTTTCGTCCGGTCGTCGTTACGTTACGCTACTGGTACTACTGGGTGGTGGGGGGTAGAGTAGACCAATGAAAAGAGAAATGATCGGGGAACCCGGCGAACTGGCGCGCAGAACGGTAACCGCAAACTTAAAGGCATTTCGGTACTCGCACGTGGGCTTTCGTTCGTGGCGGATGTGTGCGTGTACGAAAAATCGCCAATTCTATAAAAGTACCGTCAGTTACCACGTACGTGCCGTTAATAGTGCTACGCGTCAAAATCAACTCTGCGCTAAACGTGTCGAGTATCACGAATATAGTCTCGTCGATTTCACAATAAAAGAGCATTTCTTCGTAACGCGAAACGGTTGTTGATCTTGTGCACCAGTTCATTTTCCAACGTCGTCGTATTCTTCGTCGACGCATCGTATCTCCATTAGAAAAAATACTCGCGCAACTAGTGTGAATTCCTTCCTGGCGTTTTTCATTGGGATTAAAGAACAACGTTTCTAGTACACCCATTGTCAGCGACATCCGAGAAATTGGAGGTGCGTATCAGAATCGTCTGCGGTTCTAATATTTCGCCGATCTATCATTGTTCTGTTGTATTTTAAAACATATTTGACGTTCCAGCGCTCTTGCGAGATATAATCAGGGGATCGTTAAAAACGCGTTATATCGTCCGATAGGGATTCAACGGTTTCCCAATAATTCTTTGCTCGCTGGTCTTATATTTGTTGCAACAAATTTTTCTCCTTTTTTTCTTTTTCCTCAACTACGCGTATAATGTTTCAACGAATGCTCGATACCCGAACGATATATCCTTTTGAATTGCGCACAGTGTAGCGGTAGATTGTTATTTTGACCGGAAAACTGTGCTTTCTCGGTGGGCAAATGTTTTGGCGAGGCCATCTTGCGTGTTCGTAAAACGATCTGCTTATTCTCTCAGTCGCTCCTCTTTCACCCCCGTTGCAGCGATCTCGTCGCGACAAAGGGGTACACGGCGACGGGCACGTGTACCACAACGTTTATTAATAAACCTCGACGTTGGCTCGACGATTTCTCTTTAGCAGGAGGCCTGGAAACGTGTGCAGGTGATTATAGCCGTCTGGCGTAAAGAAAGAAGAAGCTTTAGCTTTTTTCTTTGCTTTATGATTTTCCGATAGACGTATTGCTTTTTAACGAGCAATTGATACTCTTTTTGAACGTAACTCGTAATTATAATTAGAACGTTCATTTTTTTTTTTTTTTTTCAATTAACTAGCGCATTGGTGCGAACTGTTGTCAAATGCTTATAGAAAGCAATAGGAAACGTGATGAAATATTTCCAGCTTTATTCGATATTCTGTGCAACAGACTTAACTTAAATTTCACTTGAATGGAAATGCTATTGAAACGTTCTCCATTTTTGGGGTTCATGTGCAATTACTTTTGAAATATACGTTATTATACATTTGAAGTAATTGTTTCTTAAAGGGTGTAGTAGAGGAGGCATTGAATTTTTAGATTTGAATAAAAATCTCGTAATACGTAATTGTAGGCGTAGATGGTTTACAGCATTGTAAACATTAGAGATTTAGTTGAAAATGTGGTGTACGGAGCGATCGTTTTAATCTCGTCAGCATTATTACTTCGCTATTAGTACGAATAAGCTAATAAGTGAATTAGCGAGTAAAGTCGTAGGACGCTTTGATATTATACCTTCGTAATTTATATTGTTATCTGAATTGTTCTCGAAATGTGTTTACCGGTTGGTAGAGAAAGCAAATTCCAGGATGGTAGTTATAATAAATGCAGTAGAAAGATATAGAAGATGAACACCATGAATATCTGATTGAAGAATTCTCTTTGTCGGCACACTTTTCAGACTTTAATTCTGGGTGAAAAGCTATTTTGTTAACACCAGCGACATGCTCTCGTTTCTTCACTCCAGTATACGTTTAATATCAAACGCAACACGAAAGTAAACTGTTGAGCTAATTAAACAACTTGCTAGTTAAATTATGAAAAAGATGAGCCGTTAAAGGAAAAAAGTAATTGTTCTTTAACAGTTTGAAATATGTGCAAATATTTAGAGCAAAAGTACGTAAGTCTATGCCACGTATGCCTACAACTGCATACCGTTCTGCGTAAAGTCGGTAGCTCCAGAATGGAACGTATTGAAAATTTCATTAAAGTCTGCAATTGATACTCGTAGATATTAACAGCACATAAATTTTTCACGGGCACACGATCACTGTCAACAGTGATTCAACAAGTGTTTCGTGGCAAGATGCGAATAGTTCAATTATAACATATGAAACCAGCCGATATTGTTCTAATGGCACAGTAGTCATTTGTGAAACAACAGGTTAAGAGAGAAATTTTGTACAATCTTTTTGTTTTTTTCAATCGTCTGTTTAATGTCAATGTAGAACTTTCTTTTTGCAAATTTTCTTCACGGCACAGGAGCAAAGCCGGTTATCGTCTCATGTTTTCTGAAACTCTGGCCTTTGCGACTTTGGCCGAGAAGATATTTTAGTGAGTTTGGTTGAGCGCGTGGCAATCAGCCAGTGTCGAATGCACGAGGCTACTCCGCGATCGGAGCACGATTGTATCGTACTCTTTCGCTAGACTATCGAGACTATTTCTACGAAGCTCATTCGATAGATTCCAACGCGAAATTTGCGTTTACGCGTATCATCTCCAGCAACGATATTAAAAGGCAGGCTGTTATTATCAATTTTCCTTCGACACGATCCTAACGTACTCTATTTACGCTGTTAAGCAACGTTTACTTTGGTATACCGTTGAATAGCTAAATTTAACATGTGACAATTTTTTAGTAAAATCGAATCATGGACAGTTTCGCAGATTCGAACTTATTTACGCATGACACGTAGATCGGTTGATTTACGAGGCACTCGCTATACAGTTATTCTCACCCTCTACAGCTGTTACAATGGCTGGTCTTAGTACCTGAAAGGTTACAACTGTCTTTCCTAACGCGCCTCGCCACCATCGTGATTTCTATTAAAAGGAAAGTTTGCGAAATACATGTGTATATTTGCGATACTGCGCGTAGCTTTCAAATATATTAACCAGGCGTATTCTTTTCGGTTTCATTTCATAAAAGTTCGTCGATTTGTAAAAAGTCGCGAATTGCCGATATTACTTTTAATAGAACTGTTTTACTCGACTTGCCGCGAAGATTCCTGTGCACTGAACCAAATGCACAAACGTTCCCGTTTTAAATAACTTTCTAATTTTGAACGCGTGCAGCGTCTTCTTCTTTTCAAGATTCGCCATCTTTTGTTCTTAGAGAAAAAGAAACTCGAGTTCGTTGCTCTATTATTCGATCGATTAAATTATTACGGAAAATTGTAATCGAGCGCGACGTACAGTACAGACGAGATATAAAAAAAAAAATGGCAATAAAATGACCAACTTTCGAAGGGAGGCAGGTAACAGGAAGTCCAAGTGGCAAAACGATCGAGGAATATTTAACAGTTCGAACTTACAATTTTTGCAGAAGGTTTATTGCTCGTATTATTAACGAGGGTACCCGGACAATTCGATTCGTCCAGGTGCAATAGAAAAGTGCTTTGTGCACCTACAGATCCCTTACGACTCGAACAGTGTGTCCGAGTACCTGTAAATTGTATCAGCTGACTGTCGAAAGTGCGAATCGCCGGCGTGTCCGGTAAGTAAGCTGAAAGAAATTTCGGAATCGTAAGAGCAATAATATTTATCAACGTCATACGTTATACGGTCGTTGCTTCCACGGTAGCTGAATTCAGAAAACCGGCCTTTATGCTCGACCGAACGTCCCGGCGTAGTTGCGCTCTGTTCTAGGATGAAGAAAGAGGTAGAAAAAGGGAAAAAGAGAAAGAGCAACGGCGGTGGAGGAGGAACAGCCGATGGCAATACAACAATATGATTATACGGCGTGGTGCACCGGTTTTCTGCAGCAGCTGCCGTCGTTTTGGGGGATCCGCTAGAAACGGACGAGGAAGGGCCGTCTTGGCGAAGTGGTGCACTGTCACGGATGGTGCTATACGAGTGTGAGAAAGAGAGTGAAAAAGCGTAGAAAGGAGGAAAGAGAAGGAAAAAGAAAAAGAAGAAAAAAAAAACGGACGAAAGAGGAGGCCCCCTCTGTAGGCCCCTATCTCTTTCCTTGTCTACAGCATTGCAGAAACTCGAAAGCCGAGCCGCACGAAAAATACCCTCTACGCTGCCTAGGTTTCGACCAGGCAGTTTTGCTCCTCGGAAGAAGCAAAACTGGCTCCCTTTTCAGGCCGTTACCGAGCCTTGAATGGAGGTCAGGGTCCTCCCTTCTCTTCTTGCCCTTTTCTTCTTTTTCAAGGTACCTTCCCGTGTGTCCTTCTCCTTTCGGCTACACCACTGCCGCTGTCTGTTTCTCTTCTTATTCTTGCCGATTCGCCGGTTTTCCCCAACGTACACACGGGGATTCGGCTTCCGCGGGGAAGGGGATTTTTTTTATCTGTTCTCTTTGTATCGACGACAGAGTCAACGGAATTGAGAGAACTGGGTAGTATGGTACTCGGAGTACCGGTCGTCTAAGAGGGAGGAACAGTTTATTCTCGCCTTTCCTTCGATATACGACGCACAGGATATACGGAGTCTGCGGTTACATGAATGCATGTGATCGTGTAACCGTGCATGTACATTTGGTCATTTTGCAAAGATCACGCGGAGCTAGGTGATTCATTGGAGGATCGTACGTTACGAACGGTTCAATTTTAAACGCGCACTCAGAACTTTTCCGTTCTTTGTGTTGTGCTCCAATTGGCGTGTTTTGGTTTTCTCTGATGTGTTTACAACGTCAAGGGAAACCTTTATTTCTTTATTCCGATAAAATTACGTTCGACTTTTATTATCCCCTGCATACAGGTTATTGATATCACCTTTCTTGTACTTTCAGGAGTTTCATTTTTCACTATCTGTTATATGCTTGCCGAAAGAATAATTTATCATTTTCTAGCACGTCAGTTGTAAAAAAAGAATTAAAGGCCTTAAGCCTTTTGCAGACATGGAACAGTTACTTTCTCACTTTAGAAAGCCAATATTTCGTTTTCTGTGTTGTGTAAGGAAAAAATGTGGCTATTCTTTCGACAAATATTCTTAGCAACTTTTTCGAACAAATTTTCTCATGTACGAAACACGTGACACGTTTCGATAAACTGGAAACGTGTCGCAATGAATTGTGTTCATTTTATCCGCTTCGAGAAGTGGAAGTTTCAACGACAGAGTGTACTCACGGATTTCTTCGTATTCGAAGGAAAAATTCGTTTATATAAAATTCCCTGTTGGGCGAACGTACCGATGTCCATGAAAGTTAGTGAAAATCTGCATTTTCTTGCAATTATAGGTAACTACATTACCGGACGCCTAAATGGTGTTAAGCCTGTGACGTGATTAACGTTGACCGAAGTACCGAGGAAGGTATCAAAATTGAGCAGGTCGTCCTCCCATCCGGCGGTGATCTCGCCAAAATTTGGAGGATGCTGATGCCTGGTGCCGCTGGTCTCAGTGCCGTCGGTGCAGTGGGCGCTGTTGGGGCGCCAGGGCCGGACGAGCTTGTCTCGGGCCTTGGTGCATTAGCCGGTACCACTCCGCAGCAGAAAGATACCACTTGGACGAAACTTTTCGTCGGAGGTTTACCTTACCACACCACCGACAAAAGTCTTAGGGAACATTTCAATGTGTACGGCGACATCGAAGAAGCCGTGGTCATCACCGACAGGCAAACTGGGAAAAGTAGGGGTTATGGTTTCGTAAGTATCTACTCGACTCTACCTTCGTTTCTCTTTCTTTCTTTCAACGAATAGTTGTGTTGTGAACTGTTTTGATTTTGTAAGTAACTTAGTGTGAGTAGTTCTGGTACACTTTTAACTTGAATCGTTATCCGTCACTTGAACGATGTACTTTAGCAATGGGGGGAAGCTTAACGAAGAAATAGAGTGAGAATAATTCGCAACGGAATTGATAATAATTTGGAAACAATGGGTTAAAAACGTATCAAGCCAAAACTTTCTTTGTAGAAATAAGTATGTAATCCGAGGTAATACTTACAAATTTTCCTATAACACTCTCTAATTTGTAGAAATAAGATTGGAACGCTGTAACCTTCTTCCAAATTATGCCTGCACCATTTTGCCGCGAGCAGAATAGAAAAAGTTTTTCCAACAGTTGTCCGTTATAGTAATCGCTAGAGTGAACAGTGTAAAGTACGCAAAGATAATGGTATAATTCATTACGATAACGTAACCAGTTTAGGTTGTCCCCTCGTGTCCAAAAAGCATGTTTAGTTGCTTCTTGCCACTCGACAGCAATGTTCTTTCTTCCGCAAAGTTTTACGTAGTACTTTTAAATACCCCGTTATCTACTTCCTTTCTTTATCATACATAATACGTAATTTATACCAAGGATAATATGAAAATATATGTGTCAGCGTCCTTACTATCCAGTAAAACCAAATTCTCTTGCATATGTTTGTTACTGTTCGCAGCAAAGCCCAACGTCTTCACGCCAAGTGTTCCATACTTTGATTTTCTTTCATTAATAAATTTCTTAATATCTTTCTTTCGTGTTAAAATAAAAGGTAATAAAAGCTGCTAGAGGTAACGATAGGTAATGAAAAGTAATAAAGTAAAACCCTAATGAATGCGTACACAGATACGTACGTTAGAAATTCGATAAAAGTTTACAAATGAAAATCGGTTCGTTCGACGACTTCATGAAATCCTAGCCTAACCGTATCGATGCTTCTTCAGTGCTCAACGAGTAAAAAGCATAAACACTAAAACCCTTTGTGGTACTTAACTAATTGAAGACGTTGTCGAGAATGTTATTGGAATATCTGGCTGTTGCATGCACGGTATATACACAAGTTGTACCGTTGCTTGTGAAGGAGCGGCGTGCAAGATCCAAGTAGAGCGGAAGGATTAGTCAAATAATCGGTCGGATCTGTACGCAGGTGATCATGGGAGATAGGCCAGCAGCGGAGAGGGCGTGCAAAGACCCCAACCCCATAATCGACGGTCGCAAAGCAAACGTCAACCTGGCGATTCTTGGAGCTAAGCCTAGGGGTAATCTACAAGCGAGTAAGTTTGCATAGCAGTGCGTGCTCATTAAATGAATACGGATTGTGCCAAGTATTAGAATTACTCAATCCAACAATTAAATCTCGATGCTTTGATTTTTCGTAGCTTGATCGAGTTTGTGTTTTCAGTTTGATTAATAATCCTTCAACTTCCATTTCAAGTCTCGCCCTGAACAAACAATACAGAAATTTTCCGCACAGTTGTGTTATATACATATGCGCGCGCGTGTAGATAATTAATCTTTTATCAATTTACAGAATGTCTATAACTTGTCGAACTGTATGAAGATCCTGATTTCGACAATGTAGTTTCGAAATATCGAGAGATTTTACGGGAATAATATCTCGTTTATTAATTCTCCATCTTGACTTTTGCGCGTCATTGTCACGAGTTTCACGTTGTTGAAGCATAGCCAAATTAACAAATTCTATTCGTCGCAGTAATCGTTAATATATTTCTTGGACAAATAGGACGGTAACTCTTCGACTCGATATGTCGAGCACGTGTGCCCAAGTATGCCCATGAAATATTATCGCAACGGTTCTCTTAACAAGACGCTTCATTTAACTGTTAATTAGGAAACGATACCATTTGTATTCCGCAGTTCAGTTTGAATTTTTAGTCTGATCGAAATTTCCTGGTGGGGAGTAATTCTGCTTCTTATGTAATTATTTGCATTCGCCGATCTTACATTTAACGAGCTGAAACACGGACGAAAGGTTAAAGGATAGCATCGGGAATATCGTTTGTGCAAATCAAAAAGTGTCCTGTAAGTCATTTTCTTGCACTCTTGGGGTGGCTTCAGGCCAACATAGCTTGGCGCTTAGGCACCTAAGTCTAAAATTGCCTTAACCCGAGTACCGGTGTCCTTTTTGTTCCTTTTTTCCTTACGTGCAAAAATCATTTCTAATTTAGAACCGGACAAGGACAGTTTTAGCACTGAAAAATGTCTTCGTGGATGCAAGAATTACGAATCGATTTCGGTATTCTTCTTACTGAACTTTTCACTCTGATTTGTCCATCGGGTAATATTAAACGCTTCGAATTTCATCTCAACGTTCGCGACAAGTGTAATATTTCATTGGTGAGAATTCATCTGTGCAGTGTATCTCTTAATTTTGCATACATACGTACACAGGGGCAAAAACTTTGTCCACCTTGAGTATTTCCGTTGTTTGTTATAAAACGTCAGATGAAATGGGAGACATAGCGTAGAGGAGGTATCAAGGTCGTCTCTATTTGTTTAAACGGGATGCTATATTGTTTTCATCGCTGTACGATAGCCGCTGTTGCGGCGATGCTACCATTAAAGGTCATTCAAAGTCGCCGAAGATCGTGAAACAATTATTGTTACTTTTGAATTGTCGAACCGCGGATGCGTCTTACGATTAGCAATTGCTGTAATTCATTGACCCTTACTTTTACGTAAACGGACAATCTTGCCGCACTGTTTACGTTCTAGTAGTACATTATATACAACTGCGGGCGTAAACATTGTGGCAATTTACGACATTACGTGGAATATCGGTATCAATCGATTGCTGAGTCAAGTATCACCCTGATAATCAAGATGAAGTTTTTTTCCGAAAAACAAAAGTGGCGTATGATCCTTGACGAGGCAACTTATCAAAATGTACCGAAATGCACTCAAAAATTGTTGTTTATCACGAAATACCGACTACACCGGAAAATATGAGACAACGGATTACCGCAGCATGTGGTAGAATAAGTTCAGAAGCGATAAGACGCGCACGTGGTTAGGACACAAATGGTTAACACTTCGCACATCTTCTGTATTGTAAGAAAATTTATTTTACCGTCACATGTCACATTCAATGATCTTTAGTGATAGCATGGTGAAATCGCCAGAACAACGACTATCGAACAGCGATGAAAAAATTGTAGCATCTCGTTTAAAATAATGGAGACGACCTTGCAGTCTCCTGCACGCCTCCACCCATGAAAAAAGTATTCACATCACATTGTGTCTCCCTATTTTTCCATATTGTTACAAATAACGGAAATATTCAAGGTGGACAAAAATTTTTGTCCCGCCCTGTATATGGAGATGAATACATTGTACTCATATACAGCATTCCGTTCTTTTAACCCTTTCGCGACGGCGGAACCAGTCATCGGTACGCCACTAACGAACGGGTCGTGATGCCATTAGTGCACACCATGCACATTAAGAGTGTCTCGCGTTAGAGGATTTCGTTGGAACAGCAAAGGACTTAAGGGTGTCTCGGATAAAGGGAATGTTGTTGAGGCCTTGTTCTGTATTTTAAAATAAATCTTCACTTTGAGTTGT